GGGGTTAATTAGATAGAAGCTATTCTGTCAGTCTAAGAATCTAATGCTACTAGTTTTAAATGTACTAATTTGGTACATTTTTTTAAAAAACATTTTCATTTCTTCTTAGTTTCTACTTTTTTTCCTACTTTCTAGAGTTGAAGACAAGTGAAAACAATGAGTTGGTTGGTCTTTTTTTAAACCCAAATCATTGGTAATTTAAAAAATGGATGGAATCAAGTGTTGTGACAGGTGTGGAAAGGGCCCTGTCAAGTGCTCGTTGGGGTGGTGAATTGCTGTGCCTCTGGAGGGCGATTCAGAAGCGTAAGCATGCGCTCGGTATTAAGCCCAGAGACCCGCTCTTCTGTTATTACTGAGATGTGCGGAGAGCTGTGGCTCGTGAGCTGGCTGGTGATAGACACCGCATGCTCACTGTCACCTGACAGAAGAACACTTGGTTAGAGAAAACGTAGTCTGCCGGTGGCTAGTAAGGAGTGGAGTCAGCTCTGTGAGTGCAAGCACAGATAGCCCCAGGATCCTAAATGGAGACAAGCCAAAGAGCAGGGCAGATGATTTTTATTTGGGGAAAATAACGTTATTTGCACATGTACGTAAATATGAAGGAAGATTAAGAGATAAAGGTGTAAATAAACGAGTACTCACTGAACAGCGAACAGTGTTACCCTGGGAAGGGTGTGGGCCTGGGGCAAAATCCAGAAAGAGAACTAAACATTTTACTTTATACTCTTCAGACTGCACTCAATTCTAACAGTCACATGTATAATTAAATATAATGAAATTAAACCACAAAAATAAATGTCCTTTCAGATATCTTTTGATATCCCTTTATGAGTGATTTGCCATTTTAAAAAACTTTTCTTGACCACTTAGTCCAAATCATCATACATCTTAGTTTAACCTGCGTCATCATAATTCATTATTTCAAAATGGATCTTTGATTTTTCTGGCCAGTTTTTGGCCTTCGTTATTGCTTTAGGTTTCACTGGTTTTGCTCTCAAGGCAATGCTTTCTCTGTCTTGGCTAGTCAATTAAAACTTGTATACGTTTTACTTTTTTAATGAAAACTCTTAAAAATAAAGGAGACGCTAGCACAGTGAACATCATCATGTGCATCACCTTGATGTAACACTTGTTCGTATTTTGCCGTATTTGCTGCATCTGGGTTTTTGTGTTTTGTGGGGGTGTTTTGGTGGCGTTTAGGAACTTTAAGATAATTTTTATTAATGGAAAAATTTCAGACATGTTCGAAGCAAGGATAATACAATAAAACCCCAGCTTTAACAGTAATCACCATGCAGCAGTCTTGGGCCGGCGCAGAGGAGTTGTCCAGTTTTTTCTGAAGTGTTTTTAAAGTAACCCCACGGGTCATTTTCATCCGTAAGCGCTTCAGGATATATTTCTTTGAAAAACAACCACACTAATACCATTTTCACAACCCCTCACATTAATAATGATGTGTTAACACCTACTGTAAGTAGGTGGCCTCAAAGACCTCTGTCTCCATTTAGTTTGCTGGGATCGGAGAGCTGAGGACCGAACCAGCTAAAGGCCTGGCTCTCGCAGCTTTCTCCCTGCGCCCTGGTGAAGAACCAGACGGCTGTGCTTCCACCGTGCCCCTCCCCTAATTGTAGGGTTGGAGGGCATTTCCAGCTTACACCCTCTAATTTCTGCTTTCCTCACCCAGATCTGCCTTCTGAGATACCCTCCTTTAGGGATACCAGGAAAATTGGCCACAGGGTCCCGGAGAGCCAGGGTGATGGTGAGTGTTCCCTGCGTTTCCACGCTGGCTGCCGCAGGGCGGAACAGCCCTGCCTCTTGTCCTGACTGCCTCGTGGGTACCTGGCAGATCCCGGCTCTGGTGTAACTTACGTTACCTGCAGCCTGTTTGACTTTGTCGATTTAGAAAGTTACCGCCTCTAGAAATATTACCCCTGGAAAAGGCACAGGATCAGAAAAGACATGAGAAAACCTTAAGTCAACACCTTAGCTTGAACCCTGGCATGAAGGCACCCTACAACTACCACCAGAAAAAACCAAAACAAAACAATAGTTTAAGAGAACTCTGGGGCAACATGAAGCACACTAATACTCATTACAGGGGTCCCAGAAAGAGAAGAGAGAAAGGACCTGAGAAGTTTTGTGAAGAGCTAATAACCAAAAACTTTCTTAACTTGGTTGGGAAAGGAAACAGTCACCCAAGTCCTGGAAGCATAGAGAGTTCCACACAGGGTCAACCCAGGGAGGAGCACACCAAGGCACATGGTCATCAAATTGACAATTAAGGATAAGGAGGAAATGTTAAAATTAGCAAGAGAAAAGTGACAAATAAATGCAAGGGAGCTCCCATTAGGTTATCAGCTGATTTTTCGGCAGAAACTCTACAGGCCAGAAGGGAGTGGCCTTTATTCATCACTTTATTTTAAGTGATGAAAGGGAAAAACCTACAACCAAGAATACTCTGTCCAGCAAGGCTCTCATTCAGACTTGATGGAGAAATCAAAAACTTCACAGATAAACAAAATCTAAAAGAATTCAGCACCACCAAAGCAGCTTTACAACAAATGTTAAAGGACCTTCTCTAGTCATCAAAACATAAGAAACGAGAACAAAAAGAAGAGAAAAAAAAGACCTACAAAAGGTTGCTTTGGCGATTTGGGGTCTTTTGTGGCTCCATGTGGATTTTGGAGTCACTTGTTCTAGTTCTGTGAGGAATGTCATGGGTATTTTGACGGGGGTTGCGCTGGATCTGTGGGTTGCTCTGGGTAGTGTGGCCATTTTGATAGTGTTGATTCTTCCAATCCAAGAGCACAAGATATCTTTCCATTTCTTTGTATCATCTTCAATTTCCTTCATCAATGCTTTACAGGTTTCAGAGTATAGGTGACCTCCTTGGGTAAGTTTATTTCTAGATATTTTGATGTTTTTCATGCAGTGGAAATGTTTATGCCAGTTTTAAAATCCTGCTTTTTGACGTGGAAAAAAAAAAGTGAATGAAGGGCTGCAAATGGCAAAATACCCTTCTCTCTTATGGGTAAGTTGTACTCTGTTACATATATATGCTGCGTCTTCTTTATCCATTCATCTGCTGATGTGCACTGGGATGCTTCCGTATCTCAGCAATTATAAATAATGCTGCTGCTAATAGCGGGGTGTCTGTCTTTCTGAATTGTTTTTCTCGTGTGTATGCCAGAGTGGAATTGCTGGGCCGTGTGTTGGTACTATTTTTAGGTTTTTGAGAAACCTCCATATTTGCCATACTGGCTGCACAGTTTACATTCCCACCAGCGGTGTACAGGGGTTTCCTCTTCTCCGCGTCCTTGCCAACATTTGTTGTGTTCTTTCTGGTGACACACTCTGACAGGTGTGAGATGGTGTCTCGCTGTGATGTAGATCTGCATTTCCCTGATACTAGTGATGTCGAGCAGCTTTTCATCAGGAAATCTGGGCACTTTAGTCTTCCCTTGAGTCCTGCCATTCATTCAAGACCAAATTCCTGGGCCTCTCACGAAACCATTCCTGATGTCTGTACTCCAGTGTGCGCTCCATTTTGAAATAGTGTTGCAAAAAAAATAGTAAAATTGGGCAGGGGGATGGGAGTGGCATGTAGAGATGAATTTGTAGACTGAGGAGCCAAGCATGTGCATCCTGAGCACCCGCAGTGTGTGACAGGAGTTTAATGGGCTGTGACCCATGTGTCACAGGTGAGAAAACGGAGCCGCTAGCGGATGGCAGGGGTGGGCCCCACACCAAGGCCGTGCAGCTCAGGTTCGTGTTCAGCGCTTCCCTCGGGTGCCTCTCGGGCCCCAGCAGGCGGAAGGGGCTGGGGGTTGGGGGGAAGCGCTGAGTTGCAGTCTGGTCCTCGCTGTTGTTGAATTGTATGAACTTGTCATTCAGCTGCTTGAACACTGATACCATTGTTTGGACTGTTCTTTCAAATTTTTAAAGTCAGAAGTCTGTTACTTTACTGTTGTTTCATTTTTACGTTGTTTGCTCTTCCCTCAGCCTAGATTTAAAGTTCCAGACTCCATTTTTTGCAGGTATTCTCCAAAACAGCCCAGCAGGATCTTGAATGTGCAGGTTCACAAGCGCCACTGCACAGATGGTGACACGGGTTTAAAGGTCTCGGAACGCAGGGCGCCAGGGTCGAAGGCAGGGTCTCGATCTCTCACCTGCCTCCCCTGGAGGCCTTCTCCCTGCCCCTCACCCTGGGTCCTGGGCAAGGCTGGCTCCTGGCTGAGCAGGGCTGCGGTTTCTGTCACAGGCACACATGGCATTCAGAGATGTGTCCGTGGACTTCACCCAGGAGGAGTGGAGGCTGCTGAGCCCTGCGCAGAGGACCCTGTACAGGGACGTGATGCTGGAGAACTACAGAAACCTGGTCTCCCTGGGTAAGCCTGGCATCTCCGGCCGTGTCCCTGCTGCTGGGCGTTTTAGTCGATGGCTGAAGCAGCCGTCGTGCTTTCTGTCTTTGCCTTCGGGTTGGACTCAAAAGCAGAGACACTGTTCCCTCTTGCCCCAGAAGGTCTGGTTTTGTAGAGCTGAAATGGGTAGAGGCGTGTGTGTCTGTGTGTGGTGTGTGGTGAGTGTGTGTCTGTGTGGGGTGTGTGTGATACCGTGCATTTCCAGGCCTTTCCCCCCAGGCTCTTGGGAAGCGGGATGCCTCTTCCTGACCATTTTCTTTTAAACGGGGGTGGTGTCCACCTACCCAGCAGGGAGCAGAGCACTCCCTGGGCCCTGGCTCACCTCCCCCAGTCGCTCTCCCCATTCCTGGCCTTCCCGTCACTCTGTGAAACTCCCCGCCTGGTTTGGCTCCGAGTCAGGACCTGGCCTTTGAGCTTGCAACCTCCAGCCATGTTGTTTTCTTTTCCTCTGAGTAGGAATTCCATTTTCTAAACCCAAACTCATCACCCAGCTGGAGCAAGGGAGGGAAACCTGGAAGGAAGAGAGGAAAGGCCCGCCGGCCCCCTGCCCAGGTGAGTGGGGAGCCAGCCCTGGGCGGCTCGGGGGCTGGGAGCGGGGAGGCCGCTGTCCGCGCCTCGGGCTGCTGTGTGCGGGGCCTGGCGTGGCCACCCCGCCGGACCCCGTCCTCACTCCAGCTGCCCTGCCGGCTCTCCTCCTTCCTCCGCTGGGTCGGCCTCTCCCTCTCGGTTCCCTCCCGCCTTCGTGGGCTTCTTGTCGTTAGTTTTTAAAAAGGTCCAAGCAAGAAAGTGGGGAAAAACAGTGATCTAAAGAAAAGAGGCAAGCCCAGCGGGAGGAAGGGAGGCCATGAAAAGCCAGGTGGGAAACTGAAATGGAATTCGAAAAAAATTATGAGGCTGGGGAGGGGAAGTTTCCGTTGGTCGTGTGAGTGCCAGTGTCACCCTCCGTTTTGCCTCTTGGCCCTGAAGCCTAAGCTATTTGCTGTTTGTCCGTGTAAGGTGAGGCTTGCTGACCCTGCTCACAGGGGCTACAACCAACAGCCTTAACGAACGTTTCCTGTTCTACTTCCTTGGGCACCACTTCGCGTAAAGTGTGGCTTTGCAGTCACGGCGGCCAGTTCCGACGACACCCTGCCCCCAGCGCGCCGCGTCCTGCGGTTGGCACTCGTGTTACCGCCCATCCTTTCTAAAGGCCCTAATGCAGTGTTAAAATACTTGTTTTAAACACTCAAGTATGTTTTTCAATCAAAAGATAAAATATTCTTTTATATTTGTAATTTACCATTTTCTGTGTTCATTTTTGCCCTTGAAATTTAAGTTTCTACCTGGTAGCATTTTCGTTGCTTAGCGGTTTTTGTGATGCAGGTAGCGGCGTATCCATTTAAATTTTGGCTTTCTGTCTTTGTCTCACCTTCACTCTCAGGGGACGTTTTCCCTGGATGTGGACGTCTGTGTGGGCTTATTTTTCCGCACTTTAAAGACTCTGTTCCCCTGTTCTGGCCCCCGCTGTTTCTGCTGAGAGATCAGCTGTCATTTCCACAGTTGTTACCCTGGTTTTTTATTACTTTTTTTTTTAAACCTCTGGCTACTCAAACAGAAAACTTTCAAAGTTTTCTGTTTATTATTGGCCTGCCATTTGTGAAATGACCACGTGGGCATGAGTTTGTGTGTATCTTCCTTGGAATTTGCTGAGGTTTTTGAATCTGTAAATTCATGGCTGGAGCCAAATTCGGGGGATGCTTTTTGGATGTTATTCTTTTCTGTTCCATCTCCCCCTTTTGGGGACTACAGCAATATCTGTGTTGGCTCTTTGTTTATTGTCCCTGTCCAGGGTTTTCAGCCTGCCCATGTGTTTAGATTTTTTTCCCTCTCTATTCTTCAGATTGGATGATTTCTGTTGATCTTTCATCTCCAATATGCTGTTAAGCCCTGGCCAGTGAATTTTTCATTTTAGATGCTGTGTTTTCTTTTTCAGCTTTGCCATTTACATTTACTTTTATTACAATTTTCCATTTTCGTGGTGGTATCTCCTAACTGTTCACCAGTGAAGAGCAGATTTTCCTTGACCTTCTCTAACAGGTTCATTCAGGTGCTTGGTTGATACATTTTTAATTGAAAAAGTTGCAAAACTGTTTCTTACACAATTCGGTTTTTTATTAAATGAGAGAGGGGTGTGCAAGGCTGTACAGCAGTGTATTTGTGAGCAGAGACCACTGCGTTACTGTTCCCCATGGCCAGCGGGGGCCTCGGTGGGGGCAGGACGGGAGAGTGGAGCAAAGGGTTTCTGAGAGTCTTCTTTTTACTTGGCATTATTTTTAAATGATGCAGAGCTGTAGGTAACTTCAAGAAACTGTGTGTGTGTGTTTCAGTCTTTAAAATACTTCGGACAATTTCGGAAACGTTTCACACACAGAGAAGCGTATTTTCTGTTTCTCAATTTTATTACATTTAAAGGAGGAGCTTCGTTAGTTTTGCCTTCGGATCAAGGGACTACAGCGTCTGTAACAAGTGGTTTCTGTTTCAGGTTGTTTATATCCTTGTGTTTCTTCTGCTAGGAAGAGCCGTAAAGCTCCCCGAGTGTCGTGGTAATTTATATCACGTCTTCCGTTTGTCTTAGGTTTCTGCCTTGTTTTCCACTTCAGTGTACTGTTAGGCACGTAAAGGTTCGTGACCGTTTTCTCTCATTCATTCATGAAGTTTTTAACATTAAAATTCTTTGCTCCACTTGATATTTCTCTAACTTTGTCTATTTCTTGTTAGTTTTAGCATCCACTTTCTTGGCGTGGTATGGTATTTCTGTGTTCATCCTTTTATTTTTAAATAAAAGTGTGATTTGGGTGCTATGGAGCTGGTACCGCATATAATGCCAAACCAACTGTTGTTGTCTGGGATGGGGACCTGGGCGCTGTCACACTTCCTGTAGTGACTGCTCCACTGCACGGGGCTGACTGTGGGGCAGACTGGGGCAGAGGCACAGGCGCCTGACTGCCGTGATGGGGAGAAAGGTCAGGGCAGAGGAAGGGAGCATCCATCTTAGCTCCATCAGCTGAAACAATACCAGAGTGGGTGGCATACACAGGTTTACTGTTCGAAGGTGTGGAGGTGCAGACTTGGCCGATCGAGTTGCTGGCAGGCTTGGTTACTCAGGAGACCTTTCTCCCTGGCTTGCTGTGCCCTCACTTGGCCTTCCCTCCGCCCGCCTGCCCCTGCTCTTCCCCATCTTGTAAGGAGGGCGCCAGTCATGCTGGATTAGAGCCCCACCTTGTGACCTCTTAGCCGTAATACCTCTTTAAAGGCCCTGTCCCCAAATACAGCAGCATTCTGTATGCAGGATGGAGCAATTCTAGAACGCAGATGTGTGCACACACTGGCCCACGAGTGTCCGGGCAGACCCACTCGGACCTGGACCTGGTTTCTCAGATGTGTGGTCATTTATTGCCTTTAGCTGACTCGAACCAGCTATGGTGAAACAGTATATTCAGTGCTGATATCTCCTTACAAGAGGTACTATAAGAAAAAATCTTTATATTGATTTCTGGGGAATTTTCTATTTAGATTAATTATAGAAATGTAACAGGGCTTGAGTTGGCCAGGGGCACCAGCCACTGGGGCCCAGACTATGGGATGTCCGTTGCTGAAAGCCCACTGCTGCCCTGGAGAAATTCTGATACGAAGAAACCCTCTAATAAACACGTCTTAGTGGGTAGGGAAACTGCAGTTCAGCTGTTTCACACCTGACCTCTGACCTCTCCGCTGTGCCGCGTCCTCTGCTGGGGGGCCCTCCATCCATCCCTCATCTCACAGGGAACTAGGGAAAGACGCAGAGACGTTCCACATGGGTCATCTGGTCAGCTCCCACTCAGAGGTCATCCTTTTGGACACAGTTTACCTCACTACGCGTGGCTGTGCGTTCGAAGGCGTTGCGGTGGGGGCAGTCTGGAGCGTGCCGGCCCCCCTTGCAGACGCACTGCCTGTGATGCTTTCGTTTTTGTAGTCTGATACACAGCATAGGCTGAGGTGTGGGTTTTCTGGATTGTAATGAAAGAGTCGTGATGGGCTGGAAAAGTGGGTGCTGTAAAGGCCTTGAGTTCTAAGCATTTTGCAGAACAGGGAATCGAGTCTTACCGTCGGACGAGGCAGAGCGGCTTTGGCAGCTCCGTCTCCATCCTGACTCAGCCTTTTCTTCCTGCAGCAGAACCAAAGCCAGACCTGCACCTCAGTCCGCTCCGCCCCCCGGGTTTCTCCAGTCAGAGGCTCCGCGTGCATCACGTGCTGTGCCGCCGTCCGCCCTGGCTCTTCACGTGCTTGTATGCAGAAGAGCCCGTCCAGCCGGGAAGTCTGAGCCCAGAGGACCAGAAGGAGCCGCAGCAGCAAGCCTCTGACGGGAGCTCCTGGAATGATGGAGCTGAAGGTCAGGAGAGGGAAGGGGCCCAGCCTTCGTTTGGGAAGACAAAGAAAAGGACCTCGGGAGCGCTCCCCAGGCCCCCCGCAAGGCAGCCGGTCAGCTCCCTGAATGGCATCCGAGGACTGGAAATAGAGACCGGCCCCGCTCGGGCGGGGAGCCCCGAGGAAGGAGACGGGTTGCTGAAGAGGATAGAGGTCTTCGGCTTTGGGACAGTCAGCTGTGGCGAGTGCGGGCTGGGCTTCAGCAAGATGACAAACCTGCTCAGCCACCAGAGGATCCACTCAGGGGAGAAGCCGTACATGTGCGGCATCTGTGAGAAGGGCTTTAGTCTAAAGAAGAGCCTGGCCAGGCACCAGAAGGCCCACTCCGGGGAGAAACCGGTCGTGTGCCGGGAGTGCGGGCGCGGGTTTAACCGCAAGTCAACACTCGTCATCCACGAGAGGACACACTCGGGCGAAAAGCCTTACATGTGCGGGGAGTGCGGGCGAGGCTTCAGTCAGAAGTCAAACCTCATCATACACCAGAGGACACACTCCGGGGAGAAGCCCTATGTCTGCCAGGAGTGCGGGAAGGGCTTCAGCCAGAAGTCAGCTGTTGTGAGACACCAGAGGACACACCTGGAGGAGAAGACCATCGTGTGCGGTGACTGTGGGCTGGGCTTCAGTGACAGGTCCAACCTGATCTCGCACCAGAGGACACACTCAGGGGAGAAGCCCTACGCCTGCAAGGAGTGTGGGCGGTGCTTTCGGCAGAGGACCACCCTCGTCAACCACCAGAGGACACACTCCAAGGAGAAGCCGTATGTGTGTGGGGTGTGTGGGCACAGCTTTAGCCAGAATTCGACCCTCATCTCACACAGGCGGACACACACCGGGGAGAAGCCTTACGTGTGTGGGCTGTGTGGGCGGGGCTTCAGTCTCAAGTCCCATCTCAACAGACACCAGAACATCCACTCAGGGGACAAGCCCATTGTGTGTAAGGACTGTGGGCGAGGCTTCAGCCAGCAGTCAAATCTCATCAGACACCAGAGGACACACTCAGGGGAGAAGCCCATGGTGTGTGAGGAGTGTGGGCGAGGCTTCAGCCAGAAGTCAAACCTCGTTGCACACCAGAGGACGCACTCAGGGGAGAAGCCGTACGTGTGCAGGGAGTGTGGGCGAGGCTTCAGCCACCAGGCCGGCCTCATCCGGCACAAGCGGAAGCACGCGAGGGAGAAGCCGTACGCGTGCAGGCAGTGCGGGCTGGGCTTTGGCAGTAAGTCAGCTCTAACCGCACATAAGTGGGTGCACTCAGAAGAGGAGCCTTGCTTGTGCAGGGAGTGTGGCCAAGGCTTTACCCAGAAGTCACACCTCGTCTTGCACCAGGTGACACACCAGGGGAAGAAGCCTTACGTGTGCAAGACGTGTGGCCAAGGCTTTGGCCAGAAGTCTCACCTCAACAGACACAAGAGGGTGAAGCCTGCCCACCACAAACCACCACTTCAGTCTGACTCTGAGGCCTGTTTAGGGCCACCTTCCGACCCCTTACACTGTCTTTGAAAGTGAAGATGGTGTTGAGGACTGACTAATCAAAATTTGTACGCTTTCATGAAATGGAGTAGAATAATGCATTCCGTAAGTGGTCAAAGGATATCTGCCTTCGTTTACTTCCTCCACACTAAATCTTCATGCTTTGTGGCCTTTTGTTCTAATAAACTTTGCTTCTTCACAAAGCTGTGGCTTTGGCTGTGTTCCTCACTCACGCATCTGTAGAGACAGGGACCGAGGAGCAGCACCCACATCCCTAGCTCCTGAGTCTGCTCCTCCACAAAAATGTAGGTCCCTGGGAGACCTACGGCCGGAGTCACTCTGTATGTATTGGGAAGTCTGCTCTTTTGTTTGGGCAGGGAATCTAAGGACTGTGTTCAGGGAATTCAGATTGGTGAGGGCAGGAATCTTCCAGGTTTCTTCCAGAAAATATGGCTTCTGGAGTGTTTCACTTGGATCTGCAGCTACCTTCGTCCCTTGGCTTTTGTGACAGCCCCTTTCTTGCTTCTCTCCTCCTGGCTCTCAGACATCCTTATTGCTGCTTTGCTGAATTATCCCCTGCCTGCCTTCATTGCCTCTTCTCAGGCTTTTGGCCCTAGTCCTACCATCTCGCCCCCTCCCCCCCGAACAATGTCCTGTCCCCAGCACGCCAGTCGCAGGGCCTGGCCTTTCAGCTATGACCAAGCAATTGTTTAGTCTCAGAACCTGGGGTCTCCAGCGACACCCATCTGAGACCACCAAGAACACGGTCCTCTGATGATACAACATGTAACCTTGCGCTGTCCTCAGTTTAGTAACAGGGATGACTCTTGAAGCCACAGTCCCAAGTCAACCCTGTGACACTAGGGGTCAGAGGTGTCAATTACGCTCCTTAGCACTCCGTTCCAGGCCAGTCTTCATGCCAACCATCTGCTATCCTTAGCCACGCTCCCTGAATAGTTAGAACTTAACAGTTCTCCAGTGACAGAACATTAGGAACTGGTGGTGTGTGCTAGCTGAATTTCTCAGTCCACACTAAGACACGTTATTGTCAAACTGCAGAAAGAAAAAATCTTGAAAGCACGAAAAGAGACTTGTCACATACAAGAGACCCCCAGTAAGACTGACAGCCAGTGTTTCAGTAGACACTGTGGATGCCAGAAGACAGCAGGATGGGATATTTAATGTACTTGAAAGACAAAGGTCAACCAGGAATTCTATGTCCAGCAAAACTAAAGGAGAAATTAAGGCATTCCCAGATACACAGAGTTCATAACTAATAGACATAACCTACAAGAAATGCTAACGGCTGAAGTGAAAGGACACTGGGCAGTAATTTGAAGCCACACTAATAATTAGTAATAATGATAATAATAATAATAATAATACCAGTAAAGGTAGCTGCAGAGTTAAGTATAAGTCAGCATTGTATTTTTGGTTTGTAACTTTTTTTCCTGTGTGATTTTAAAGACAAATTAATGAATAGTTCTAAACATATTTATGAGCGCACAATATATAAAGATAAGTGAACAAACAGCGTAAGAGGGGATGGAATTGTACAGGAGAGTTTTTGTACACTATTGAAGTTGGTATTCAAACTAGATTGTTAACACACCTATGGTCAATCAATCTTCAACAAAAGGAGGCAATAATACACAATGGAGAAAAGACAGTCTCTTTGACAAGTAGTGTTGGGAGAGCTGGACAGCTGCATGTGAATCAGTGAAGTTAGAACACTCCCTCACACCATACACAAGAATAAACTCAAAATGGCTTGAAGTCTTAAACATATGACACCATAAACCTCCTAGAAGACAACATAGGAAAAACATTCTCAGACATAAATCATAGCAATGTCCTAGGGCATCCCACTGAGGCAATAGAAATAAAAGCAAAAATGAACAAATGAGACCTAATTAAAGTTATAAACTTTTGCACAGCAAAGGAAAACAAACGAAAAGACAGCCTGTGGACTGGGAAGAGAATATTTGTAAACAGTGCAACTGACAAGGGCTTAATTTCCAGAACATACAAACAGCTCATACCACTCAGTACCACCACCACCACCAACAAAAGCCCAGTGCAAAAATGGGCAGGTGACCTAAGCAAACATTTCCTCAATGAAGACACACAAATGGCCAATAGGCACATGAAAAAATGCTCAGTATTACTAATCAGAAATGCAAATCAAAACTACAACGAGGTATCACCTCACACCGGTCAGAATGCCCATCATTAAAAAGTCCACAAATGATCAATGCTGAAGAGGGTGTGGAGGAAAGGGAACCCTCCTGCACTCTTGGTAGGAATGTAGTTTGGTGCAGCTACTATGGAAAACAGCATGGAGAGGCTTAAAAAACTGATAATAGACTTACCCTATGATCCAGCAATCCCACTCCTGGGTGTATATCTGGAGGAAACTTAATTTGAAAAGATACATGATACCCAAATGTTCATAGCTGTGCTATATACACAGCCAAGACATGGAAGCAACCTAAAGGTCCATCGACAGGTGACTGGATAAAGAAGTTGTGGTGTATATGTAGATACTATTTAGCCATAAAAAAGGATAAAGTAATGGCATTTGCGCAACATGTATAGACCTGGAGAATGTCATTCTAAGTGAAGTAAGCCAGAAATAGAAAAATATCATATGATATCACTTATATGTGGAATTTAGAAGGAAAAAAAGGGACATAAATGAACTTATTTACAAAACAGACTCACAGACATAGAAAACAAACTTGTGGTTACCAGGGGAATAGGGGGTGAGGAGGGATAAATTGGGAGTTTGGGATTTGCAGATACTAACTGCTATATATAAAATAGCTGAACAACAAGGTCCTACTGTATAGCACAGGGAGCTATATTCAATACCTTATAATAGCCTATAATGGAAAAATATGAGAAGGAATATGTATATATTTGTATAAATGAATCACTATGCTGTACACCAAAAATTAACATAACATTGTAATCAACTATACTTCAACAAAGAAAAATTAAAAAATTACACCAGAATCTGAGACATTCTAAACTGACTATACTTCAATCAATCAATATATATATACCAAAACCCCCCTAAATTGTTAGAAAATTAAGATGACAATTATAATCCCCAGGATAATTATGAATAACTAGAAAAAATACACAGAAATATAGTATGTACAGAAATATGTACATATGGAAATATAAAGAATTTATATTTTGAGAAAAAGTCAAAATGATACACTTGAAAAAAATCAAACATAAAAGAAGGCAATATTAGAGGAATTGGGGAACAAAAATTATAAGCTATACAGAAAACAAATAGCAAAATTGCGTAAGTATGTCCTTATCGATAATTATAAGAGAATTAAACACTAATTAAAAGGGAGACCAGCAGAGTAGATTAAAAAAACACATGATCCAAGTATATGCTATCTCAGGGATACTCACTTTAGATCCAAAGGCACAAATAGGTTGAAAGTGAATGGAAAAAAGATTTTCCACACAAGTAATAACCAAAACAGCTGGGGCAGCTATACTAATATCAAACAAAATAACTAAGTCAAATATTGTTTCAAGAGACAGTGACATTTTATGTTGATAAAATGGTTAATCCATCGAGAACGATCATAAATGTATACACACCTAACAATAGTGCCACACAATACATGAAGCAGAAAGTTTAACAAGATTGAAGGAAGGGCTAGTTCTACAATAACAGTTGAAGGTTTTAATGCCCCACCTTCAATAAAGGATAGAGAAACTATACAGAAGGTCAAGAAGGAAACAGGACGCGCTCGAGCACTCCTAGAGCAGAGAGACAGAAAGAACGCTTCCCCAACCAACAGCAGCAGAACACACGTGCTTCTCAAGTCCACGGGGAGTGTTCTCCAAAATACGTTGTTCCATAGAAAAATTCTCAATAAATATAAAAAGATTGAAATCATACAAAGTATCTTCTCTGACCACAATGAAAGGAAACTAGAAATCAATCACAAGGAAAGCTGGAAATTTCGTAGCCATGTGGAAAAGGACACACTTATGAACAACCAATGGGGAAAAGAAGTCACGAGGGAAACTGGAAAACGTTAGTCTAAGTGGAGTGATTACTGCCGCCACCAAGGTCTGCACCCCAGCTGCAAGGAAGTGGCTTTCTGATTACGACCGTGGGAACCGAGCGGGGAAACGCAGGGGCCGCGGGGCGCGGAGGGGCGGCGGTTCTTCAACTCTGCCTTGTAAACAGCAGAGCCTGTTTACTCCAAAAAGAATTTTTTTAAGGAATCTAAAATTTGTGTTTACCTTAGAAATGTTGGTATATTGCTTCCCTTACACCCTTGCTTTCTGGTTGATTCCACTTTAAAAACTTAAAAGATCAAAATTAGTTTAGATTAAAAGCAAGCCAGTGATTATTCAATTAAAAATTGCTTTGCGGTGAAGTAAGAACAGCACACCAAAAGTAGTGCTCAGAAGGAAAGGTATGGCTGTAACATTTAAAAAAGAAGGAAGCTCTCAAATCAATAACCTGAGCCTTGACCTTGGGAAACTAGAGAAAGGGCAAACTCAACGTTGAAGGAAAGATAAAAGAATAAAGATCAGAGTAGAACTTAAAGAAGTAGACAATAGAAACTAATAGAGGGGGGAAAAAAATAAAAACAAAGTTATTTGAAAATATCAGCAAAACTGACAAACCTTTAGCTAGACTGACCGAGACAAAAGAGAGGAGACTCAAACAGTTAAAATCAAAAATTGAAGTGGGCCATTTCTAACAATTTTATAGAAATGGAAAGGATTATAAGAGCATACCAGGAATAAATGTGTCACCAAATTAGTTAATTTAGATGAAATGAACAAATAGCTAGAAATACACCACAAAAATTCAATCAGGTATAAATAGGAAACCTGAACAGATCAATATGATTAAGGAGCTTATAATCAGTCATCAAAAACCTCACGACAAAGTAAAGCCCTGGATCAGATGACTTCACTGGTGAATTCTACTGTTTAAAGGATTAACACCCAATTCCTCTTGAAACTTAAAAAAAAAACCCTTCTTCCTCATTCATTCTGTGAGGCCAGTGTTACCCTGGTAGCAAAGCCTGACAGAGATACACAAGAAAACTACAGACCAGTATCCCTTTGGCTGTAGATGGGGAAAGCCTCAACAAAATGCAGTCAACCCCATCCCGCATCCTACTGACAGGATTTTACCCTATGACCG